CTTGTCCTGACAAAAACCCCTTTGATTAATTCGCTGTGAATTCTGCTCATTCACATCCAGCAAAGTCTTTCAAAGGAGGATTTGCAGTCACAGACCTTATCTGGCTTGGAGAGATGCCAGGCCGATATTTGCAAAACTCAGCAAAGAGTCTCGGAGAGTCACCAACCAATGAAGCGAACTAATGGTGTCCTGCAAGCTCCACTCCCCTTTCACTCCTCTTTTATTCCCTCTGGGAGGGGCCATTCATCGTCCACCTGTGGCCTGACTCCCAAGGCGACTCCTGTTCTTTAGCTGTTCCCTTTGTCTGGCAACTCTGCACATGCGCACACTGGGAACAGGCTCCAGCTGTTCCTCTGCCTCACTGATGACTGACTCCGAAGGCAGCTGATAACTGTCAGACGGCCCCGGCCCCCTTTCTGCCTCCGACGCAAAGCCCTCCTCAGAGCCTTCCCCAGACTCCAGGACTGGCCCAGGTTCCTCCCCAACCTCCTCACTGTCCGAATCTGCCGCCAGCTCTGTTGGCGGGCCACAACAAGATGCTAGTCAAGTGCATTTTGAGAAATTAGAAAGAGAACTGGTTGCAATTTACTGTTCTGACTTGAGGCTCTCACCAGCCAGCCCCTGGTGTGTGTTCAAACTTGGAACTAGCAAGGTATGGCATGCCTGGAAGACTCCCGCTGACCCTTCAGAGTTGATGGGAATGGTGGTGGAATCCCGAGTGCAGGGAAGCTAGTCCCACCTCGTCCCATTGTGTCCATCTCATTTTGTGTAACTCTCGTGTCTGTCTGTCTCTTTAGAACGACTCCTGGGGAAAGCAGTACTCGTATGCGCTGTTCAAGGCTATGAGTCACATGCTCTGTATCGGCTACGGACAGCAAGCCCCAGTGGGCATGTCTGATGTGTGGCTCACAATGTTAAGCATGATCGTTGGCGCCACGTGCTACGCCATGTTCATCGGCCACGCCACGGCCCTTATCCAGTCTCTGGATTCCTCGCGGCGACAGTATCAGGAGAAGGTAAGTGGCTTCTTAGGTGGATTTGGCGAGAAGGTTCAGCAGCTGGATCATTCTCGGATCCAGGCGCTGCTGAGGAGCGGTCAAAGGGAATGGATCCTTCTCATCAGCTGCCCCTCCTTTTCTTCACCCCGAGAAAGATCAGAAAGGCAGCCTCCTGAAGCCCCTTTCCCAAGATAGCATGGAACAAGCCGATGAAATCAACCCCAGTTAAGAACAGTATAGAAATACAGCCACGATCCCATCCCACGAATAAAGGCCGCCATCTGTCTTTTTATTTTTGCCTAGGCTGCCCTCTTGTCAAGTAACTCTAAGCTACTTACAAAGATTATTATTATTATTTTTTGCAAAAACTATCCAAAGCATGAAGTTTTGCAGAAAATTATCCAATGCTGCAAATGTGTTTGTGTGATAGATACAAGAGATAGATGATAGGGATAGATAGATAGATAGATAGATAGATAGATAGATAGATAGATAGATAGATAGATAGATAGATAGATAGATAGAT